CAAGAAACTCCAGTTGTTATGATCAACTATGTTCCAAGTTCTCAGATCTCGTTCATAAAGCAGGGACAAAGGCCCTGAAGGGATCCACTACTTGGAATGACACTGTGGATGGGAAAATTGCCCAAATGATTCTGTGTGATCAGCTCGCACGCAACATTTGGCGTGGAACCAAAGAAGCGTATGCGTACGAAGCAATTACCAAAGATATTTCTCGGGAACTCGCCATTGCCTTGGTATCGTCGGCTCCGACAATCCCAGAGATGCCGACTTTGGGACCCAGCGTGGATGGGTTGGACCACGGTGAGGTCTATCCGCCATATTTGGCATTCATTCTGGTGGCACTGATGCACTCGGAAACTATCGAGGACCACGATTTGTGTGATGAATTGTTTCAACTGGCCATTGAGACAACGCAGCCCCATTTACATGTGTACTTTGAAGGAGAGCAAAAGGTGGCTCGGGAACACCGAGTAGTACTGGAGGCTTTTGGGAGATACCCGTACCGCAACGCAGTTCTAGGGAGGAAGACAACACCCGAAGAGGCTGCATGGTTGGCAAAGAAGGAAAACATGCCTGACTGGGCCAAAAGCCAATAGATCCATTACCTTTTTTAAAAGAAGATCCATTTCTAGAATATCGCTTCTAATACGGTAGAGTGTAGCCACATCTGACAGACAATGAGACACGTGCGGTCGGCACGGGCGCAGAGAATGCCAAGTCTTCGATATCTTCCAAACAACTTCGCCGATGGAGAATTAGGCAGATGCGAACAAGAAACTAAGTCCGTTTTGAGTGTTGTGTCGTCAAAGCACTACCGGTACGATTGCACATTCTACACTGTACCACCTTCTGGCCAACCTTCTATCTTTCTTCCCGGTTTGATCTCTGAAGAGGTTCTCACGTTGTACCGGTACGGTATGATAAGGTCTAGCTGGGTATGCAAGGACAGTCACATCCACACAGTGTCTCAGTACAGTCAAACTTCAGAAACTGAATATTGCACAGCGCCGAGGGAATTGTTCCAGTTATTGCCGTCTTCTCAATGCTCAGCTGTACCAATGTGCTGTTCAACTGGGCGAGCTCACTGGGCAGGGACCCCCCAATGCCTTGGTTACCTCGCAATTCAATTTCGATCAACCTTGGTAATATCCCAAGCTCAGAGGGAATCGTGCCCGAGAGATCCGTGTCTTCCGCCCTCAACTTGGCCAAACGTCGCAACGTCCCCAGTTCAGATGGCAGTTGGCCATGCAGGCGGTTGAAGCTGACATCTAAAAAGTTCAGATTGGGCGGAAGAATTGTTGGGAGCTCTCCAGTGAAACGATTTCCGTCCAGCATGAGCAATTCCATATCCGCCAGTCCATGTCCAAGATCAATCGGCAGAGTCCCTGAAAAGCTGTTTCGGGCTGCCTTGAGCACTCGCAAATTCGACATGTTCCAAATCTCCTGCGGCACTGTCCCCGAAAACATATTGTCCTGAATCCCAATGTCGCCGAGGAGGGAAAGCAACCCCATTTCAGATGGAATTTGTCCAGTGAATAAATTGCTGACCAATCGAAACGATGTGAGACTTGACAGTTCTCCAACTTGCGAAGGGAAGGTGCCCTCTATGCGATTCAAACCGAGCACCAGTCCTTGGAGCCCTGTCAACAATCCGATTTCTGCAGGAATAACGGTGGTCTTGAGGTTGTTTTCAAGCAAGTGAAGCTCTTTCAGGACTCCACTTGGGCCACAGGCTTGTTTACCCCTGGCAGATGCAGTGGAATACCAATCACAAACAGAGCTGTTATAGCTCAACCATTTCTCGGACGTAATGTTGACTTTTTGTTTCTTATGCTGACCTCCTTCACCAGGAGGTGGCGGCGGCGGCGGAAGTGAGGCGTTGGAATCTGGTGGCCGCTGCCCTTGGTGCATCATATTGGGGTCCTCATCTACGACGATCGTCACTTGGCCTCCCCCTTGAAACGTCCATTCGGATCCGTTGGTTGCGAAATAAAACGTGGCAGCGGCAAAGCGCTCGAGCAATTGATATTCTGTGTATTGTTCTACGTTGGGATCCTGGACTAGCCATTGGTATGCCTGACCCTGGGGTGTGCTGATTGTGACGTCTTGGGTTATGGTGTTGGTTGTACTCTCTGGCAGGGTTATTGGCAAGATCAATTGAACCGAAGGAGAGTTGATTGTTTCAGTGCTGTTGGTAGTATTAGATGCCTCGCCTTCAGCGGGGGCTTGGATGGTTTGGGGTGACGAACTTTTTGATGCAGCGAGGATTGCAATGAGCCCAGCTGCTGCAAGCACAGTCAACCCTCCAGCTAAGAAGCAGAGCTGACGAAAGCGTGTCGTTTTGTCGCGTTGCTGTTTCTTTTGCTTTGTATCTTCCAAACTGACGGGTTCTGCTTTTTCGGTTGGCAATGAGACCGGAATGGCTTCGACCAAACCGTCTCGGTTGCTACTGCTTGTGGATTCGTCCATCTCGTCGATCACACGCCCTTCCTCTGCAAGTTGAAGGGTGGTGCTTGTATACAGATTTCGATTGCCCAAATGGGAGCTGCAAAATCCGAGTTCTCCGCTATCGGTAAAGGAAGACTGCTGTTGCCTCCAACCAGGGACTTCTGGGAAAGCGCCAGGCAGATTCTCAGGGTCCACTGGAGCTTCACTGATGCGGCTTTTGGTGCTAATGTGACTGGGAGGTGGACGGCGCCTTCGTGCCGTGGGTTGGGTGGAACTGGACGGATCAGGTAGCGGCAATGGGCCAGAGATTTCCATTGGCGCAAGGTCCTCTGCCCCGGTATACGAATCAATCGTCACTTGATGGGCTTCACAGTAGCTGCCTAAGGGCTTGGGTATCATCTTGTCATCATTATTGTTCATTTTGGTGGAACTGGACGGCTCAGGTAGCGGCATTGGGCCAGAGACGTCCATTTCTTGCTCCAATTCTTCCTCAGTTTCATCGCTGCTTCCTTTCTTCGGCCCAAGGTCCTCGGTCTCGGTATTCGAATCAATCATCACTTGATGGGTTTCGCAGTAGCTGTCTAAGGGCTTGGGTATCATCTTGTCATCATTATTGTTCATTTTGGCTGCTCTTTTTTTCACTTTGTCAGCAGAGCTTATGCCGGTAGCTAATAGAAGACCAGAGCACCGATGCAGAGGGGACCAGAGGTTCTATCTCTTGCATGAGTAAAATTCAAAGTGTGGATGCCGTGCATTATTGGCTTGTGAAATGCGAATTGCGACGTGGTGGTAGTCTACCAGGTGACATCTCGACTGTCTGTGCCCTGTGCTACTTGCTGTACCATCACGGTTCATGGTTCATGCATGGTTCATGCATGGTTCCGGCGTTCCGCTACCGTACCGGTACCAGGTAATGGTACTGGTACCGCTCGGGTCTCGCAAGCTCAAGGTATAAGCCAGCATAACAGCAATAGAGAAGGAGTGACCAGATCAAAGTTCGATTCCCCGATAGCAAAGCTCCATTCCCCGTTTGAAGGATCCATTCAATTTCGAGCTAATAACTTCCACACAGGGTTACTCGGCATTTTGTCTGTTTTGGCGATTAAGTGATTTTTATGTAAATGTTTACACACCATTAGTAGACATAAGTAGACAAAGTAGACATTGTGCGACTTTAGGAGACATTAGTAGACAAAGTGATACATTGTGAGACATTGGTAGACAAAGTGAGACATTGTGAGACATTGTGAGACATTGGTAGACAAAGTGAGACATTTTTGTACTGTTTTACTGTACTGTGTAGACAAAATGAGACATTGGTAGACATTAGCAGACAAAGTGATACATTGTGAGACATCTGGAGACATTGTGAGACATTTGTAGACATTGTGAGACATCCGTAGACATTGTGAGACATAAGCCACTTTTGCAAAGGAGCATAGAACATTTAGGCAACTCTGTAATCAGATACAATAGCCTTAAATAGACAAAATGCCGAGTAACCCAGGAGCAGTCTTTATCCCATCATGTCAGCCACAAGTTCCGTCGACAAAACCTCTTTCCGCCCACAGAAGAAAGCAAAAAGTGAGCCTAAAACATCTGATGATGACTTCCTCAATCAAACTGACATTTGGGTCGAGCAAATTCTACCATTTGTGGGCATGGGGCAATTTGCCTTTCTGGTACCCGTCAGCAAGAGAATGAAGGAACTCTACACACAGCTTATTGTGAAACTGTGGAGAATCCTCCACTGGTGTTTAATGAAGATCATCAGATTGAACACCACTATGATTATGATGATGATCTTCAAGACTCCCAGCGCTCAGCAACCCCTTCTGATACTTTCTACAGTGCAGTTATCTCCTCTGTCCCACGTGCAGAGTATTGGTACACCCACAGATACACTGGCACTGATGGAGAAATTAGTGGCTTTGTTGTTTTTTCTACAGCTGCCAAGGTGGGCAGTCTCCGAGTTCTTCGATGGGCGCGCAAGAAAAGATTTTGGTGGAATCACAGAACATGTGAAATGGCTGCCGAAAATGGCCGATTGGAAATCCTGAAATATGCTCATAGGAAGGGCTGTCCATGGGATCGATCTACATGCTATGTTGCTGCTCGAAATGGCCATTTGGAAGTCCTGAAATATGCTCGTGAGAATGGCTGTCGATGGGATGAATCTACATGTTATGGTGCCTTTGGAAGTGGCCATTTGGAAGTCCTGAAATATGCTCATGAGAATTGCTGTCTATGGGATGAATCTACATGCACTCTGGCGGCTCGGTATGGCCATCTGGAAATCCTAAACTACGCTCATGGTAATGGCTGTCCATGGGATGAATCGACATGCAGGGGTGCTGCTGAAAATGGTCAATTTTTCGTGCTACAGTGGCTCCATGGAAAGGGTTGCCCATGGGATCAATCTACATGTTATGCTGCTACAGGTGGCCATTTGGATATCCTGAAATACGCTCATGAGAATGGATGTCCATGGGATAAATACACATGCTCTGGTGCTGCCGGGAATGGCCATCTGGATATCTTGAAATATGCTCATGAGAATGGCTGTCCATGGGACAACGGAACATGCAAGTGTGCTGCTACGGGTGGCCATTTGGATATCCTGAAATACGCTCATGAGAATGGCTGTCGGTGGAATCGACACACATGCAGCTATGCTGCCTTGAGTGGCCACTTGGAAATCCTTAAATATGCCCATGAAAATGAGTGTCCATGGGATGCACAAGTTTGCACTTTTGCTGCGCAAAGAGGTCGTTTGGAAATCCTGAAATATGCCCATGAAAATGGCTGTCTGTGGGATGCACAAGTTTGCAGTTCTGCGGCTCAAGAAGGCCATTTGGAAATCCTGAAATATGCCCATGAAAATGGCTGTCCATGGGATAGCAGCACAACTCAATTTGCTGCTGGATGTGGTCGTTTGGACATTCTAACGTATGCTCATGAAATGGGCTGTCCATGGGATGAAGGCACATCCGCATATGCTGCTATGCGTGGTCATTTGAACGTTTTTTTAAAAGTTTGCAATTGAAAACACCTGCCCATGGAATGAACATGAATTATTGAGGGGTGGTAGTAGTACACCAGAAGTCAAGGCTTGGCTGGAAGACTATATTTCCCAGAGGGATGTCTGATTGCGCCTCAACTTAACTCTGAGGAATTCAACAAGATAGTTTGGGCAACTAGACTCTAGATTCTATAATCCAGATGAGGTTGTTACAAACTCTGGGATCAAACTATTAATTTTTGGTGAGGATCTAGAGCAGGGAACTAAACATCTAGCTGGAAACAAGTTCATGTAGGAAACTAAGCCAAGAAGCAAGCAACACAAGCCTCGAAGCCATCAACCTGTGAGGCAATCTCACCGCAAGTCACACCAGGGTGATCCAAGGTTTCCATCCTTGTGGCGGCAATGTCCCATTGATTTCTATCATGCAGATTGTATGTTTTTTGAACTAAATTGCATCCATCTCATGCTTGACTCTTGGCCCAATCAGGAATATCATCACTGGATAACCACTCTAATTCTTCTGCAGTGCTCTCTCTACCAAGTTTTTTGTTGCGGTGAGGATATCTTCCAAATTGATCAATGACTGTCTTGTGATCCAGTTCCATGTCTTTGGTGCTCTGAAAGGACTGTTTCATGTGATCTGGCGCCACTTCCACACTAAAATCCGCGACCTCTACAGCCAGGTCATGGTCATTGGGCAGTTCGGAATGCATCAGCGGTGAAATGATGAACTGCAAGTAGGGAGGGTACACAATGCCTTGCAATGATGGTAGAATAATGCCACTGTTGTCAGGACGGCTGCTGCTGGTTGTCGAACTAATTAATTCTTGTGACATTTCTCGTGCAATTTCCATGGCCCCTTCGTCTCCAGCGAATGCCTCTTCGGTGCCTCGAAAGGCATTGCGTGCCAGTTGATCACAGAGTACAATTTGTGCCATTTTGCCATCCACAGTGGTGTGCCAATCGTCGTCGTCTTGCTGCAACAAGCGCCCCTGGTTGGCGGTTCGAATGACGTCTTTGAACTTTTGGCAAAGGACATCGTATTCGGTTCCACCGGCATACCAAAAGGGCATCATTTCTTGAAAGGTGGATCCTGACTGCATGGATTGGACATGGCTGGGATCATGGTAGTCGACATTCTGTCAAAAGAAATAAATACAGAGAACTCTCGTGTTGGTGGCAAGTTTGGTGGCGTCGTGGCGTCATCGGGACACCAGCTACGGTGGTACCGTGTTTGCAATTGATATTGGAAAACCCAAAACACCCGAAGCATTCAACAGAAACAACCTGCATTGCCAGATCTGGCAACAAAATAATTTTTCGACTTACAAAGAAGAAGGAGAGGACCGAAGCCACCTGGAAAGGATTTTTGAATGATTTCCGAATGAAAGCTTGAGACGCAAACGAGTGCACCTGTTGGACTGTTGGACCGAACGCCATGCTGCTTCGTGTAGACTCGAATCGACTCAGGATAGGATAGATCTATGTGCGATGTGTTTTGTAAGATCATTCTTGAGTATCCATTACTGATAGCAGACACGGAGAAGTCAAGGTTTGCTTTTCCGGGCAACCGTTGTCGGAGGGTGATGGTGGCATTGTTGGATGGATCTTTGGAAAATTCGATTTGCTTCTTTTCACGGTGACTGACGTCAGTTATCGAACTCATCGCAATCACAGAACCTGGCAGCTGACCGTTACTCTCCACCCATCATCTGCACCCTGACATAGATAGAATAGCACAAGGAAACAAGTGGTAGCATATAGAGTAACCCCGCTAGCACTGCAACCAAACAAACAAAGAGACGAACCATGAGAATCGTTCTGCCCCTTCTACTTTTCGCCTTGTCCGCCGATCCAAGCAATGCCTGGACCACCACGCCCCATCATGCTACTGCAGTTGTGAAGTGCCCTCGCCAAGTCAGGCTGTTGGCATTGAAGAATGGAAATCAGGAAACCGAAAAAGACTCTTTCCGCCACAACAATCCGCTCCAACCGACATTTTCTTCTCGAAGACAATGGTTATCGGGTATCATGACAGCTGCCGGGATGGGTCTCACTGGTGTTGTTACTGGTAGTAGTCCCTCCAATGCGGCCACACCCATTGCCGCCACGGCATCTCTGTGCGATCCGACCGTGTCGGTCTGGGAACGCAATGGACGAGTCATTTATCTGTTGGGCACGGCGCACATCTCCTCGTCGTCGGCGCAATTGGCCGGGAAACTCGTCCAAGACACACACCCCGATGCGGTATTTGTGGAACTGGATCTGAAACGGATTGGAGGATCGGGAACCATGGCCAAACGCATGGCGGAATCCAACAATCAAGGAGTGCAAATCGGGACATCCGACGATCCCGATAGCAAACCTACGCGACTCTTGGTAAATCCCGTAGGAAGGAGTCCTCCACCACCTGCAGTAGAGACGTCTTCCACGGCATTGGCCGAAGAAGCCACCGAGACGACAACAGCAGCCGCCGAACCGACAAAACCCAAAAAGAGCGGTGGTGGCCTGCTGAGCAATTTGGGAGCCGCTGCTGTTGGAAAGGGCATCAAGTCCATGTACGCAAAACTAGGCGATGAAGGCTTTCAGCCCGGGGAAGAATTTATTGTCGCCATTAAAGAGGGACAAAAGATTGGAAGTGCCGTGGTGCTCGGTGACCAAGATGTGGACGTGACACTCAGGAGAATGTCCGAAGCCATTCGACAAACAGACCTTAGTCGGTTGCTCAATCCGGACAATGATTTGGAACAAAGCATGAGAGAAATGATGCCCAGCAGCAGCAGTTCTGGCAGTACCATGGCGGCGTCGGAATTGACAGAATACGTGGAAGTGATCAAAACCAAGGAAAATGTCCAGAAAATCATGGCCCTGCTCAAGAATGAAGCACCGGCCATGTACCAGGTCATGGTTTCGGAACGGGATGCCTACATGGCGGCAGGCCTCAATACGCTGAATGAATTTGCCATCATCACGGCAGTCATGGGATTGGCTCATGTGGATGGCGTGGAAAGGAATCTGCGGAGTGAGGGATGGAAACCAGTCCCACTGCGGTGTCAGTAACAGGCTTAGAAAACATACATGAAACACTGGATGATGAGGGCTACTACGGAAACACACTACTCACGTGGAGCAACTCATGTAGTTGTCACTACAGGAAGCATCGACACATCACTTCGGCACCAATGCACAAAATATGCCGGACTCTCAATCAGGTTGTTTCCAAAAAGTGTACTATCAATCGAGTTGTTATGGAAACTAAAACAGGACTCTTTAGATAGAGTGGAAACCTAAACTGCAGCCAGCCAACCCATCACGTATATTGACTCTTTGTAGTCGTCACATCCCCACTGCACTTACTTCTGCACGGACATGATGCGGCAGCTCTCCCCCTTGACTTTGAGAACGTATCGACGTCGATTGGATTTGCGATAAAAGGCCTTGATGCCGTAATAGACAAAGTACAGAATCCAGACTGATGACAAGATAAAGCCGAAAAAGTCTAGCACGGGCAAAATAATGGTGGATGTCAAGAGTGGGTGAAATGCCAACGCCTGGATAAGGCTGTGAAAATCGTGATGGGATTGGCGATGCTCTTCATCCAGCGCTCTGGCTGCTTTTGTTGTCATGTCTCTGGATGCAGGATTCTCGGATGATGATGCATCCAATGACATGAGCCGTGTTTTCTTTGCTAATTGTTGTAGCTTTCGAAGTACCTGTACAAAGGTAGTTTTGATGAGACCCTTGCTGCTGGTCAATTGTTTCGGAGTGGCAACTTTGAAGACGGGGGCGTCGAATTCGTTGTTGTTCCGTCTTTTCTTCCTTGTATCGTTGTTGGACAGTTGCACAAATGAGAAAGTGATGTTGTCTTGACAGAGGTCAAGGTTCGCCCGTGTCGTAGACAACTCTGCCAAAAGGCTGGGATCGTCCAAAGCATTTTGAGCCGACGCTCTGACTTGGAATTCCTCCCAGGCTCGATAGTCTTCTTCCTGCTGCTTGGTCCAAAGAGACTGGTAAAATGCAAAAGGGAAGATACTAGTGGTCATTGACTCGGATGTATCCGACACAGCCATGGGCATCCGCCCTGCACCATATCCCAGGGTGATGACAATTAATACCATTGCTGGAAACACGAGCAGTTGGCTACTAATTCTCAACAGGCGAAAGCTTCGGTTGGAGAATGGAAACATGACGTCTTCCGGGGAGAGCCTTTTGGTTGTATCCAGGATGCGATCGGCTGCACTGAGCGCTTGAAGCAGGTAGGTTTGTGTCAATGGACGAATGATAAACGCCATGTTCCAAATAAAGCAACATCCCAGTACCGTGCGACCAGTTTCCGGAGAAACATGGAACAAAGGAACCCTTTGAAAGACATAGGTCCCCCAGCACAAAAAGGGAATGACTGCAATCCCCAACATGCAGCATTGACGATATTTCCGTAACAGCCACCGCCAGAGTTTTTCGCTGCGAAGTCCCAGTATAATCACCTCGTCTCCCAACACAAATTCCCAGTAGAGGCGCATGGTTTCTCGGCAAGGATCGGCCACGGCAAATGCCAAGAGACTGGCCGCAAAGGCGAACAGGAGATGTGTGAATTGGAAAATGTTACTGAGGACTCGGAGGCGCGACGTTTCCAGATCGGGAGTGTAAAATCCTGTGAGGCCCACCCAAAGGGTGACTCTTGTGGACCATTCATCCAATGCAGCATTCAATGGAATTCCAAAAAGTCTTTGATCGGACACGGCAATGGTAGTTGCATCCTCATTTGTAGTCAACTGCAACAGGAACAACGTGACAAAGAATGTCATCCAGCCATTAATGTAACTAAAGGGCGAGAACATGAATATGCTGCCCGAGTGCAATCTGGTGACGTGAATGACTAATCTCCACCAAAACCAGAGTGACAGTGCGGCAATGAGGAAGATCATGGAATAGGATGGCGGGGAGGTCACGTAGACCAGCCCGGGTCCTCCCAGGTAATCTCTCCACCAATTCAACCAGCACTTTAGATCATCACAGCAGATTGTTTGTTCTTGATACACCGTGTACATTGCCAGTAGAGTCGGACTGGCCAGGGCAAGCAACGATGCCACCCAAACACACACGGCCGCATCCAGGGCTTGCCATTGTAGAAATGTTGCCTTGGTCTTTGCTGTCATGACCGACAGAGGAATGGATCCGGGCCCGATCCTTTTGCACGTCAGATGAAGTCCTGATACGTCCTTGATGGTTTTTCGCTTGGGCGTGGAGTTGTTGGAGGGAGATGCCGGTGCTACCTTGCTGACACTGTCTTCGGAAGGGTGAATGACCATTAGCCCCGAAAACAGCCAAGTGTGCGAGAGGGATTTTTTGCCAAGGGTAGAGGAAGACAAGATGTATAACAGAAAGCTGACAAACAGCCCCAAGATCCCCATTAGAATATTTGGAGATATTCGAAAGCCATCGTCGTCTGTGTGCATCATAATATCAGGGTACGTCGTATAGACACAACCACGCAAAAAATAGTCGACCAGTAAAGGATGATTGGATACCCCTTCTGATCAAGCTCAGGAGTTCAGATTGCGTTGCTCAAAGACACAACCTGCCACGAGAAGAATGCACTCGCCAGACTACTAGTAGCTATAGCAAGATCGATGGATCCATCGAGTACTAGTACATGTGCTCTTATAGTGCCTGGCGCTATCCAGGACAACTCGACGACCACGCATTGGCTGTCATTGCTGCCATGGATCTTTTGGCCTTGTGACGAATGGCAGCTTGAGTCCCGGAGTGGGAATAATCGTGGAAACGAAGCGTGGATCCTAGCCTGTGCAGGGAACCGCGAGCAAATCCCCGAACCGTCTCCAACCAAGCATGCTTCAAAAGCTGGCCAATTGTTGGCTCTTAAAAAGTGCTGGGGCCAGTTCCATGTCTCTGTTTGGAACTTGCTAGCTAGGACCTTGGAGAAACCTTGGGATGTGGTCGAGCTGATGCGGTAAAATCATCTAAATCTGCCGTAAATTGTGCAGCGCCCTTCCAATTTCCCCCGTGTTTCTTTGCCGGAGGTTAGCCAGCATTTATGTGATCCTTGCTCTTGCTACAAGATGGAGTGATTTTCAAACCTGCCGTTTGTATGATCGGGGTCTACTGGTGCTGCTCTAGCCTTACGGAACTTCCGCAACCAAAGCAATGTACAAAAGAGGAGATTCTTGTTGATCCTAAAATTTAGTTTGAGAGGCCACTGGACATGCACCATGATTCATCATGCCAGGCAGGTACGGACCAAAATTTACTGTTTGTTGTATTATGAAAACTGAGGAAGCTCGAATTGACTTTTTCTTCCCATCCAATGGAAGGAAAAATGCCCATTCAGCAAGCACACGCCTCTTTGCAGCAAGAATCCAATATCCTTTACGCATTCTTGTTGTTGCCAACTCGACCTCCCTTTTTGCCCTGTGGCTTTTTGCGGGTTGTGGGTTTCTTATTGGCAGCGCCATTATTGTTATTGTTGTTGGCCTTTTGGTTTCCAGGTGGCCCCTTTTTCTGGATGGCCGATTTCCTTTTGATGACGCGTTTCTTCGTATTTCGTCCTTGTTGAGGCTTCTTTTTCTTGCCATTGTTGTTGTTTCCATTATTTTTGGCAGTGGTGTTGTTGTTTCCATTGGTGTTGGCTTCCACAGTAGTGCTATTCCCATCCCCCGACTGGCTCATTTCCTCGTCATCCTCCACTTCACCCTCTTCGCCATCTTCCTCTTCACCATCTTCTTCCTCCTCGTTTTGTTCGTCGTCCTCGTGTGTATTGTTATTGTTGTTGTCACCCTCTTCTCCATCAATGACCTCTCCATCCTCTTCGTCGGCACCCGAATCACTGCTCAACGCCGAAAGTCCCCGCTTGTGGCCGGTGGTGTGTTGTTTTTGTTGTTGGGCATATACTTCATTGGCCCGTTGCTGCACATGCCTGTGAATGCAACTTTCCAATTCGGACTCCTCCAGATGCCACTTGGGTCGTGTGGATTTCACCAAGGCCAAGCATCGAGCACTATAAGCAGCTTGGGTTTCCCCCTTGAGGACTGCAGGAGGAGATTGTTGTTGAGCCCATTGCTCCAGTGCTTTCTTGGCCGAGTCATTGTACGCGTTGAGTTGGGCATTGTGAAAATTTTGAGCTCGTTTCTGCTCCACAAAACGACAAAGAGAATATCAACAAAGAAATGCATTTTGGATGAGAAACCAGGACAGAATTGCATTCCTCCACAAAAGGATTCATTCTTCCTCCTCAACGAATAACCTACCAGGACAAACTCGTTGGGAGAATTCGCCAACACGGCCTTGGAGGCTTCCATGGACGCCAGAAGGTCGTCATGTGTCACTGGATCTCCAGCCGCATGTTTCGACAATAAGGGAGCCAGATAGGCATTGATCACATCTTGCAACAGTGTCATGATAAAATCAAAGTTTGGAAAGATAGACACGGAAAAGGACGGCAGCAGAGAGTGACTTGAAACACAGACAACACGCGTCAAAAAGGAGAACAACTACCGTACTAGCTAGTATACAGATGTTGACACAGCGATGGTGTTGGGTTGTGGTGATGAGAGAGGTTGCTGCGTCCGTTCAAGACAAGATTGCTGGATGAATGAGAAGCAGGTTTGGAGGAAGTTTAGTCCCTTGAATGAGTCCTCAGTCCCTCTGGTATTGCGACAGGATAGAACGTCCGCAAACTGAGGCATCGCTGTCTCACATTTTAATTTTTCCAAAATTAGTTTTAAAATTGAAAAATCAAACGACTCACAAAATGTACCGTACGATACGGTAGTCTACTGGTAGCTCTCAAGAACCTTGAAAATTGCAGAACGTGGACAGAAAGGGTTGTCTTTGGGACAGTCCAACCTGCTCAGGTGCTTGCACCAGTTGCCAACGCGGTACAGTTTTCACTATCTGTGTTTTCCACACCATCAGAATCGAATCAGGCGTATAGATACGACGTCAGAACTTGCAAGTAGAGCTAGCTACCACAAACATTGGGCTGAAGAAATAGAACGCCAAGCTTTGTTTGAGCATAGCAATTCAAAACTGCTCAACAACTGAAGCCCAAGGCCACAGCCTCAATCTCTCTTCGTTGATGCCATACTTTGCAGGATTCAGTGCCATTGGGGCTAACCGTTCTAGTTCAAAAGCGTTGTGCTCCACTTTTGCTCGTGGCAACTCACCGGTTCTTCCCAGGTGGAAATCCAATATGGCTTGTACTTCTTGCAGCTTCTGTTGTGCTTCGACGGCATCTTCCCAGGGAAAGCCAGTCATGTAGTTGACAACAATGCTCAAATCATCAACTTCAGAGACATTGGCTACAAACTCCTCGAATAGTGCTTGTTTTTGGACTTTGCCAATACGACGTTGCGTTTCTAACAACAAAGACTCCAACCCAATTTCCAATGTGACCAGGCCACCCTCTCGCAGCTTCATCAACGTGTCTGTGTAGGCCAATCGTTGCCCCAACTTGGTGCAAGCCGACCATTGGACTTGCCCACGGATGAAGCCGGCTATGTCCAGTAGGCGTTTGGTCGTCACCAAGGAATCTTTCAAGGATATCCCCGTGCAGCCATCAAGCTGAAGGGCTTGCTGCACCACTGGGCCGAGGGTAGCCTCCAGGCCTAGCTGGATGGGCGTCCCTTCCATCGACGGGTACGTGCAAAAGGCGCATTTTCCATAGGCACAGCCCAAACTAGATTGAGCTGGCAAAGTGATCGGCCGGCTGTAGCATTCGAGGTTTTCAAACACCAATGGCAGCAGCTGGAATTTGCCTCGACGTGCCTGGATGACCGGCTCCACATGACACTTTTTGGAGATTGTCGATGATGAGACATGATCCAACAGTCCAACAAACGTCTCTTCGGCATGACCTTGCACGAAAACATCGGCAAGGACCCGACGCTGTGGCAGATCTTGTCCGATGGCGTGACCAAGACCTGATATATGTGGCCCACCCCAAGCAATGGTTGCTTCCGGCCAGAGTTTGCGTGCCAACATGGATATTGCCGCAGCAGGAATCACTTGTCCGGCATGCAAGAGGGACAAGCCAACCAAATCCATCTGGCGACATCCCCGTTGCAAGAGCTGGTCGCGTGCCCATACTCCAAACGACGAATCGGCCAAGTTTACTGCGGCTTGGTGAATCTCCTCGTGGTCGAGGAAGCCGTATTGGGGGCGACGGAGAAGAAGGCCTCGAGGCTGATGAGGATCGTGTTTCAATGTCAAGGTTGCAAGAAGCTGTGTGTCCCATTGTCGTTGAATCTCCGACAGCTTGTTGTCCTCTGGCTTGTTGTGGTCTCCCTGAAACATGGGCTTGGGTCGCATCTTGATGATATTTGATGTGCCATTTTTCTGAATCCAGAGGGCATTGAGATCTAGAATAGAACAGCTGTGGCCATGACTACGTGCTGCCGCTTGCAGAAGAGCCGGGCCTAGGAGAGGCCCTGCATTGTATTTGAATAGCGGTGGGACTACGAGGAGTGCCCTTGCAGTCATGCTGAACTCTGAAAGGAGTGCTTGTGGATGGATTTCACTATCAAACTCTTTTGTGCTGGCAAGTAATGATGCTCTGCCGTACTGTACGCAGCCAGTGGATTAGATTCCGAGGCTCCACTTTCCTGCAAACATACCGGTAGGTACTACAGGTACCTTGGTAAAATTTTCATTCTCGTGGCTTCTCTGTGAGTCACGAGACTTCCTCCTGAACGCTGAAAGCGCAGTAGACTAATGTACCGGTACGAGGAAGGTCGTAGATAATCTGGATTTGACGAGCTCTAATAAATGTAATGTTCTAACGAAATGTGAAAACTGTTGACAGGGTTGTACATTGAATAAAAGCAAGTTGCTCCCTGGTAGTTCAAAAGGCCAAACTTTCATTTCTTTTCCATGCATTTGTCTGTATAGCTAGCTAGCTGCAAAAAGCTCAGGAGGATTCTGTCTCCTGCTGCTTCTGCCAATTGACGAATCCCCAGACAACGGATGCAACTGTGACGGCCACATCAATGGTCGGTGGCAATTCCAATCCCGACGCACTCTGCGTGACGAGGATTGCCACAAACGGTCGTAGCAGGAGGGCCACCACCGCCACGGCACCGGGTATCCGTGGATCGGATTCCTGGTTGAAGAGTCCAACAGTGGTGGCAGTAGCAGCAATGGCCGACAGTACTAGAAATGTGCCGGCAAACTCTCCATCCTTGCCCGCAAACGAGGACCACAAAAAGACAAGTCCGAATGCATCGTCATTGTACACTCCACGAACATCTGTCGTGTCACTTTGCTCCTGCTTGGATCCTCTTGCTGCCAATAACGAGCCTCTGCTCTCGACAACAGGGACCTGTCGAGCTATTGGAGAGGGTGTGGTTGGTGCCAGTACCGCTCTGCTTCCCACGCGACATGAAGAAACTCTCGGCACAACGAAACCAGCAGATCCTTGAAGCATCAGGAGCATCAGGAGCGCCAATAGCCGAAAGTGGCCATTCTTTTCGTTGGAAGGGCTACGCCGCCTTGATGGATGTCCTTGTACTGGTAGTGGTGATAGGAGTGTCGTCATCTTGATCTTCCTTCTATACCGCTATGCATACCGGTAGTGCTGTGGTCTGTGGTGTTTTGGGAAAGATCGAGAAAGATCAAAGATATGAGTCACGGTCTGAGCAAATCCGTGATTCATTGGCGCGGACCCGCGCGATACCTTCGAAGTCCCTCCGATGCTTTCTTTCCAAGCATTCCCAGCAACACGGCAACGACTTGTTTCCCTTGCCTTGGTTGGATCAGATCCATTTGCCGTTGTTGACCTTCTCTTTGTTCTCTATCTCACAGTTGGTTCTGTGGTTGATCGTACCGTAGTAATAAAAAAGAGCACCACTAGTAGTTCACCATGAGTAATATCAATGGGGGCAACGCCCGAAGGAGCATGATGTCCTCTGTGGACTTTTACCGACGCGTTCCCAAGGATCTCACAGAGGTAAGCCAATGCGTTGGTCATTTTGCGTAGGATTCTACGTGTTTCCCGTACACAGATCTTTCGAGAATCTTGTCTTTGTCCATGCATCCATGCCATGGTCATTGCCAATCCTACCTCTTTCTTATCCACCGTTATCTTGCTACCCTTGTATCCCCATGGTTATTATCATGATTGTTGTTTTATTTCGTATGATGATTAATCAATTGGTGGGTAGGCTACCACACTGGGTGCGTTCATGTCGGTGTGTGCCATTTCGGTAATGGCGGTCCTCTTTTTTTCCGAGACGTTGGCTTTTGCTCGGACCAAGATTGTGACTTCCATTTCGGTGGACGAAAACACGGAACCACAGATACGGCTCAACTTTAATATAACCATGCTGGATCTGCACTGTGACTACGTATCGGTCGATGTCTGGGATGCCCTTGGAACCAATCGTCAAAATGTTACCAAGAACGTGGACAAGTGGCAAATTGATTCCGAAGGACAACGACGGATTTTCAGTGGACGCAACCGTGAAGCGCGTGATTTGGTCCATGATGAACACGACAGGACTCTAGAGGAAATGCATGCTGAAGATGGAGTTCATGCCGTTGAACTTACAGAAGGAAACTTTGATGAATTCATGCAAGCCAATGATATGGCCTTTGTCGATATGTTCGCACCCTGGTGTGTCTGGTGTCAGCGTCTTGCTCCCACTTGGGAAAAATTTGCACAGGAAGTCAAAAAGGAAAACATGCCCATTGGAGTTGGAAAAATCGATTGTATGGCACAAGCCAACTTGTGCCGCAAGCAAAAGATTATGGCATTTCCCACTCTTCGATGGTTCCAAAATGGAGAAGCCGTCACTCCTGATTACAAAATGGATCGTACTGTCGATGCCTTGGTCGGGTTTGCCAAGCGAAAATTGGAAATGGATGAACGTTACAAAAAGTGGCAAGAACAGGCGGGAGATGGCGCCGACGAGGAGAAAAAGCGCAAGTTGTTCCAAAACAGTCGTCCCGAACATCCCGGATGTCAAGTATCCGGACATCTCATGGTCAACCGTGTGCCTGGAAACTTTCACATTGAAGCCAAGTCCAAGAACCACAATCTCAATGCAGCCATGACCAACTTGACACACCGCGTCAATCATCTCAGCTTTGGTGATCCCATTGACGAAAAGAGCCGAAAGGCAAAACGCATCTTGAAACAGGTTCCAGAAGAGCACAGGCAGTTTTCCCCCATGGATGCTCAAATGTACCACACTTCGGAGTTCCATCAGGCGTATCATCATTACATCAAAGTGGTGTCTACTCATCTCAACATGGGAGCGGCCGGAAGTGCCAATGCCATGGTCACCTACCAGTTCTTGGAGCAATCTCAAATTGTCTACTATGATGTCAACAATGTGCCGGAAGCTCGCTTTTCGTATGACTTGAGTCCCATGAGTGTGGTGGTGGAGAAGGCGGGACGCAAGTGGTATGATTATCTCACGTCGTTATGTGCTATCATTGGAGGAACCTTTACAACGCTCGGTTTGATAGACGCCACACTCTACAGAGTGCTCAAGCCAAAGAAGCTATAGTGCGGTGGTTGGTGGTGCATGCATGGGCTATATCATATCGAAAACAGCAACGACAAACAATCCTTCTTTAGAGGCGTCGCGGTTCGTGTTAGTTAAATCATTTCATACCTTTACTTAGAATGCATCTTTGTTTTGGGCAGTGCAAGAACTTGTCAGTATAATAGTCAGTCCATTCTTTCAAGCCGTTGCGAAAGCCGTCTTTCGAGATCTTTCATTTTATGGGATTCTTCAATCGCACTTACCGTCGCAGTTACGGCAGAATCAAAACAAACGAGATGGGCGAAGGACTACGTGTACTGTAGAGAGGTACAGCAGGAGCAGCAAATATCATACAGTTCTATTGCGCTTGTTTTTTATTTTTAAAAGGCTGTGGAGAACTCGCAATTTCTGCGGTTCCGGCGTGATGTCCATGGTCACTATTCACGGAAACATGCACTTGTCATCCACTGGAGGTAAGGTCATTTGGGTTTACTGTAAGAGAAGACTCCGAGCACATCATCACTTCAGCACGTTAGTTTAGTCTACTCTACAAATTAGCAGCAGGTCCTTACGAAATGTGTGTCGCAATGAACTTCCACCCAATGGCATCGGACCAATTCAAACAACGCCAAACTTCTTGCCACCGTTCCCAGATACACCCATCGTTCAAATGCTAACGAGCCCACTAAACGGAAGAACCGGCGTCTCTCTGTATCTTCATGCCTTTGTCTGCAACAAGGAAGCCAAAGTTCGTTCCACGCTCTTCGGAGTGCCCAGCGTGAACTGCGATGATCTTCATATCATTGTCTTCATCTCCCCCCAAGAGGAAAACTGGGGCTCCAGAAAAACCTGGAACAGTATTGACACGATACTCAACGTGTTCGTCACCCACAAAGGCGATTTCTCCAACAGTGATGAAAGTATCGCCCACCTGTGCCTCATATGCTTGCTCGGTTTTCTCTTCATTGCCATCTTCACCACCTTTGACGCAAGATCCAAGACTCTCCTGCATGGTCTTGGCCAGCAAGTCGGTGCAACTGTGGGCCAAGATGCCTACTTCCATGCCCTCCTTCAACAGGAATTCTGCGCTGACAACATCGAATGCACTGATGTTGTTCTGCAGGAATTCCCGAACCGGAGCATTTTCGATTGCCAAGTCGATAAACTGCAACTCCATTCCGTATTTCCAGCCCTCTTGCCCATTTTCGTCACCGAACGTGAAGGGCTCAGGTTTTGGTGTCGAGTCAAAATCCCAGACCCAGGATCGCTGCTGGACCATGCTGATGCTCACGTTAGCATTGGTCGGACTCTTCAGGCTTGCCACCTGGAAATCCTCACGGTGTTGTTCCTTGTTCGTTTCGTGGCAGAAATTGTGCTGCACTGTTGCCATGACGATGCCTTTTGCAGTCCGGATGATGCATGCTTGGCCCACCGCAGATCGATACGAATTTTCTAGCGGGCTCTTGCAAACACTCATTAAAAGTTCGAAAGAAATGCTGTGCTTCAAGAGAACACTGGCCACATCCGATAGTTTGTCCATATTCCTTACGCAGACGCCAAAGGGCATTAGATGATTGCTGTCGGGGAAGAGACGGCACTGTTGACCCATCTCATGAAGTCGACGTCGCTTGTCAACGATTCGCTCTGGCGATGAGCGATTCTTCCCGGGAAAATGTGTCATTCCTGGTGGAGAACGTTCCTTCGCGCTGTTGCCGTTGACGTTGCCGACGATGGCGTCGATGTCCGAGTTGGACTTCGTGGGCGTCATTTCGAGAAAAGATAGTAAGAGAGGCCGCGGCGATGATCCGAGCTTTCCTGCAGCGCCTTGATTCATTTATGGCAAGCAATAGATTCGAGGGTGGAAAAACAAGGAAGGAGGAGTGACGGTGATGGGGGGCAACAGCAGCACCGAAAAATGACGAGGTTGCGAAGAGCCAGTCATCAGTCATCGATCGATCCGTCGAACGGAAGAAGTTGTTGCCGTTTCCAGAGCCATTGTCGAGGCGTCGCTTGTTGTTGTGGTCGCTCCGTGGTAGCGCCATGGTCGCTCCGATCGACCGCTCCGTGGAAGAGGAGTCGTCATGGTCGCTCGCTATAGAGGAGTAGCATCATCTTGATAGAGCCAATAGAGTAGTGAAGATAGAGGTATCGAACGGAATAATGACAACAAAAGAGGAGGATACGAGTGGCTTGGATCGATCGCGATCCGAGTGATTTAGGCCAGGAAGGTTCGGCCTGAGGCCACCTGGCACTCGACTGGCAAAGGGGTGGAAGGCAGTGATCTGATTGGCTGAGAGGACCGAAGAACAATGTATATGTCAGCGATATATAAGGAACAAGATTTAAATCAATTAACGTACCATTTATAGTTATTACGGATACAGTGTGCTATAAAGTTCGAAATTTCGTGTTTCTGTTTTCGCGAAAGAAGGATTCCTCCGTTCGTTCGATCGATCGTCGATCGACAATGACAACAACCACCGGAGAGCCACCGGAGAACCACCGGAGAGCCACTCGACAGTCATTATCTTGGCCAAAAAGCCACCAACAGCAGCAGCAGAAGACAGCATCATGGAGCCACCAACAGCAGCAGCAGCAACACAAAATGGAGGAATGGGTTGCCAAAGCCAGAATAGAAACTCGCAACAGAAGAGAGCCCACGAACTGGCTGCCAACAACAACAGATCCAAGAGAGCCAGAGAAGAAGGACCACAAACAACACTGGAAGGAGTGGTAGCAGAAGTCTTTGATCCACTCAAGAACTGTGTCATCTGTAAGGCCAGACATCTTGCTTGGTTTGGTGTGTTGGTTCTAGCAGCAAGAATGCTTCTCCATTTTCTCTTGTGGAATGCCTCCAGCTTCCTCTCTCATTCAGTGGAGAGAGCACTGAATTGTCTGTGAGTCTTCTGCTTTCTTTGATTGTCTCCATGTCAGCGCATTCAAAGGTCCTTGTCTTTTTGTTATTTTTTTCTTAATACAGAAGACAGATGTGATCTCTTGGGGACTTGAGAC